CAGCAAAGCTAACATCAGGATCGTCATCCGTTAAAAGCCTCCCGTTGTCGGATACGACATGAAACTACTCCAGTTAGCTCAATCATGTTGTAACCAAGACATCCGCTGGAGAAAATATTTTTTTCACGGACCACTTTGTGAGTTTAGTGAGTTATTACAGACACGGCTAACAGCTAACAGCTAACGGTTAGCCCAGCTAATCAAAGATAACCATGTTATTAATTACACACAGAGAAAATACTAATGTTTGTTCAGTCATTGTGTTTATAGACTTTACAAACATCAGATTATGATAGGTGATTATATAGGTGATATAGTGACGTGAAAAATGTGATATATACATATATATAGCTAAACTCAGCAAGGTAAACAACAAGGCGATTCCCATTTACACAGTGCTAAGAGTGCTGGACCGGAAGTGTCGCACAAAAAACCGGAAGCTGGCTGCGTTCTGTTTTGCCTCCGTGTTTCCGTGAAAAATAAGGTAGATATATGCACCAAGTGGAGAGATGTCAGAGTGGGGCTGCCCATGACAGGCGCTCCGAGCGGTTGGGGGGTTCGGTGCCTTGCTCAAGGGCTCCTCTCCAGTGACCAGTACACACTCCATATTTTGGTCCGGACGGGGACTTGAACAGGTGACCCTCCGGTTCCCAACCCAAGTCCCTATGGACTGAGCTACTGCCGCCCCAATTTAAATGAGACTTTCAGTATATGTTCCTGGTACCTATTAAGACATTGCTTTCAAGGTTTGTGATGATTCGTCCAAACGTTGTGGAGTCATTTGCTGAGCCACGCCCCCTTTAAATTTCATTGGTCGATATCTTCAAAAAGCAATGAGATATCAATAACAGTTAAAGTGTTGGTGATATAATTCTGAAAAAAATCTCACATCATTCTGCTGATTTCAGGAATATTGTCAAATATTTTGGTGACATTTGGTTAAAAATGAGATGAAACAGAAATTGTTGTCACACAGTACAAATTACAACGGCTGGCTCAATGGTTAATGAGTAAAATCCATTAATGTGCTGAGCCACGCCCTCTCTAAAGGTAATTGGTCAATATCATCATAAAGCAATGACATATCAAAAAGCTGTTGATGACTATTGATAAACTTCCTCCTGTGATGTCAAAAATTTGTTTTTCAGAAAATTCAATATGGCGGAAAACCTTAATGGTTCCTAAGACTTGTAGAGCACATTCAGTTGGACGTGTGTGTCGAAAGTCAATCAGACAAAGCAAAATTTCTTTGACCCTTCGGGCTTGAACCCCTAATGAAAAGAAATGTTAGTTTTAGGACAACAGAGGGCGCCACAGTAACCTCTCAAAAACCTCTCAGGTCAAGAAAATAATTCTGGTGACACATGTTGCAAACATATGTTTTTATGTTCCAGGACCAGCGGCCATCAAAGTGTTGGTGTCAGAAGGGAGTGATGTTACATTACCCTGTTCCCTCAGCACCAAGGAGAACATCGAGCAGAAACTCTTTGACTGGAGGAAACATGATGGTATGAAGGGGGTGTTCATGTATGATAAAGGCCTCCATCAAAACAACGGTGGTTCAGGTCAAGATGAGCAGTTCAAAGGTCGAGTCTTTCATTTCCAAGATGAGCTGAAACAAGGCAACGCCTCCATCATCATCAGAAATACAAAGATGGCTGACAGTGGAGACTACACCTGCTTTTTTCCACTTCTTCAGACACCTCAAATTTTCCACATTGATCTTGTTGTTGGTGAGTGTTTCTAAATACGAGCAGAGAGGGAGTGAACACAAAAAGCACATTATTACATTTCTGATCATGTAATTGTTCTTTCTAAGTTATTCTTTATAATGTGTTGACAGTTTCATCTCCAAAGCCATCTGTCACAGTCCTCAATGCCACAGATGATGGAGTGCAGCTGCAGTGTGAGGTTCAAGGTGCTTCTCTAAAACCTAAAGTAGAGTGGAAGGACAGTGATGGAAACATCCTTCCTGCTGAAGAACCACAGGTCACAGACAAAGGAGGCAGCTATGACATCATCCTCCAAACTACTGTGACCAAGACCGACCGCTATCACTGTGTGGTCACACAGGAGGAAATCAACCATCAGATTCATGCTGAGATACCTGTGCATATCATTGGTAAGATTCCTCCTTGAGGTGCTCATGTGTTGTATTTTTAGTTTTGATAGATTTTAGCAGCACATTGAACTGTTCTTTATGTGTAGTCAATGATCAATCTGCTGTACATGATACACAGTTACATTTTGAGTGTTACATCAGCTTTTTGTCATGTGTTTCAGGCAACAGCAGGAGCAAAATCAATGTTAAATGGCTTCTTGCTGCTGCAATTTTAGCCTTCTTTGGGCCTGCTGCAGTTTGGTTGTTTAGGTGGTATCGCAGGCTCAACGACAGGATTGATAGAGGTAAGTTTTAATAATATATTCTATCAACATATCTGTCCAGAGTCTTTACAGTTGTGTTTGTCTCTTCAGATATGAACCAGTCTGTTTTATATAAAACTCACTGAGACTACATTAATATATGAGTCCTCTGGTTCTAATAATGAATAAATAAAAATAAATACAACAAAGTTGTGAATATAATACAAGAGCTGTTTTTCCGAATTAGTGCACACGTTACAGAAGAGGGCCTCGTTTCTCTGTTTTCAGACAGTTTTATCGTTAAAGTTACGAGATCCAATTAGAGTCCTACATCAAATATAAATGAACCATTTTATATTACATTTTAAAAACTATGATTTATTATCATTTTAGATGCAAATGACATTTCCTCTTAACTCCTTAGTGACACAGCTCCAGAAATTTGAACATCTGATGAAAAATAATGTTCAGCGCATTGCTGGCTGTGGTACGAGGACTCAGACTGAACCTGAGGATCTTCAGTCATGTTCTGGTACAGTATACACAGTATGGGGTCAGGACCTGCAGTGCAACCAGGCTGACACATGAAGTGTCCTAAAAGTGGTCAATGAAAATTTAAAATCAATTCTACTACTAATACTGAGCATTTATAGTCGACCACAAAACTGCCCTGAACTTATGAGCTAACTAACAAATACACATCACTGCACCTTTCAAGAGAATCAATCTGCACATTAACTATATTTCCAAACAGACACTGATGAATAATACGTTTGAAAATATATGTCTGAGGGGTGACTGCCTGAGTCGGATCAAGAAAGTTCAAGTTTTCTTTAATATAATTGTTTTATTTTTCTGCAGGTTCAGAGGGTTCAGAGATTGCAGAGAGAGAGAAGGAGCAGCAGCCACTGAATACAGGTGCACATGACTCTCAGGCAGCAGCAACCCCTGATTTGACGTCGTAGAGGAGTGTGTGAGAGTGAGTGAGTGAGTGTGTGTGTGTGTGTGTGAGAGGGGGGGGGTATGTTTGAGTGTAGCTGAGTGTACGTCACAGCTGACAAGCAGCTCTGCATTACACCTTCCAGGTGCGGCTGATTGCTGGCAGGTGAATTTAGATGTGTTTGTGTGTTCAGATTCCATTTAATGTTGGTTTGAAGATGTTTTTATGGCCTCTGAGGTTGGAGTCATCATGTTTTTGGGTCATCGTCCGTATCATTCTTGTGAATGTGACATCTCAAGAACATCTTGAGGGAATTTTTTTTAAAATTTGGCACCAACATCCACTTGGACTCAAGGATGAACAGATTGATTTTGGTGGTCACGATCACTGTGACCTCACAAAACATGATTTTTGGCCATAACTCAAAAATGTGTACACTAGTTATAATAGCATTTGTGTCAAATTAATAATAGGATAAAATGATTAGGGCTGTAGTCAACCAAAGAAAATCTTGGTCAACTAAAGTCGCATAGTCTTCAACTAATCGATTCGTCATGGGGAAAAAAAAAATCTGCACGTTATTTTTACTTCTGGTGGTGTGTCTGTGTCACTCTGCAGTTACACCTCCAAAACACTAGTTGGCGGTGGAGGACTGTGTTAAGTCAATCAATCAATCAATCAATTTTATTTATAAAGCCCAATATCACAAATCACAATTTGCCTCACAGGGCTTTACAGCATACGACATCCCTCTGTCCTTATGACCTTCGCAGCGGATAAGGAAAAACTCCCCAAAAAAAACCCCTTTAACGGGTAAAGTTTAGTTCAAATCAAACTTTATATATAAAGTTGATTCAAAACACACATTAAACACACATTAAACATGCATTAAACATGGCTTAATAGAGACAGTTTCAAACACAAGTACACAAATCAGCTTCACTATAACTCGCAGCATTCACAGACAAACACTTGTCTTTATCTGGACACATTTTCCCCACCAATACAACATGCTAACGTTATTAGCACAAGCCTATGGCATTTTACATTGTATAAATTAGCCTAGCATCTAGCGAACTTTTCCTCTACTCATAAGAAGCCAGGGACAACAGCAACATTTAACAAAGGTAACGTTACAAATTTAGCTTCATTACAACTCACAAGGTTCACTGACAAAACAACTGTCTGATACTAAACATGTTTTCCAAGCAAATACAACATGCTAACGTTATTAGCACAAGCCTATGGCATTTTACATTGTATAAATTAGCCTAGCAGCTAGCAGAGATTTCCTCTGCTCATATGAAGCCAGGATAAATCACACACACGACTTAAAATGCTATTTTAGTGGAGGCTTTATTGTCTTCACAATTTATTGTTTCTTATCTGTGAAATAAAAGTAAATACAAGCTTCATTTCCACTGAGGGAAATGGTGTCAGCTTACAGAAACAGACAGGAGGTCTGTGTCACTGCGACGCTGAGCGTGAGGGTGGGCGAGTCCAACTTTCTGTCAACAAGGGGGGTGTTTCGAAAACGCCCCCATTTTCACAGGTAATAGTGTTGTGTCGTTCGCGAATGAATTGTTCAAAAGAACAAATCTGTTTAGTGAACGTACTGAACTGAATCACTTCCGGAACTGATTCGTTCATTTCTCAGTTCAGTTGAGCTCAGCAGCGAGCGTCCAGGTCAGGAGTGGAACTGCCGATTCAGTCTGTGTGAACGATGAATCACTCGCGAGAAGTGAAGCAGCCAGGGTGCAGGGAGGGACTGCCTCGGTGAACGAATCACTCGGTGAACGAATCACTCGGTGAGCGATGTAACCACGATCCCTGAGTGATTCAAATAATTTCTTCTCAGTGATACACTTTCATAGGGACTGTTTTCTCCAAGCTAAAGGCTAATGTAGCCAGGAGTCACGCTACATGAACACAATCACACACCTCCCCATTGTTTTACCAGACTTCGTTTCCAGATAAACAAACTTAAAACGTTAGGCTGGCCAGTAATGAGACTCACCAGTGCAGGGCAGACGCAGCAGCAGCAACAGTTAGAGGGACTGAGTCAGATTACGCAGTGCACAGTCAGGGCTCCTCCCGTCAAGCACTGAACGATTCGGTGAACAAATCTTTTGAACAAATCTTTTTAATGAGCTGATTCTAGTGATTCAGTAACATCTAAAGAACTGCATTGCCCATAGCTAACAGGTAACTTAGCCTGTCCCCCCGCCGCAGGAAATAATGGATTAATCCTGGAAAGTTTTTGATGTAGCACTGTCTCCTTATCAAAGTAACACAGCGATTATTCAACTTGTGAGAATTTGGTCGGACGAGACCATAGCGACCAAATAATTGACTAGTCGACCAGGAGACAACAGCCCTAAAATGATGAAGTCATTTTATATAACAAAGGACAGCTTCACAGCAACATCATAATGTTATCTGGCCATAAACTACTACTGATGCTGAATTTGTGAATTTTGGGTGTCCACCTTTAAACTGTGTTGATGGTATGAATCAGTGTTTGTCAACCTTCTTCCTGAAGGGACCTGTTTTCTGTTATTGAGGAAACTGAAGACCGCTGATGAAGTGATGTATTTTATGGATATTTTGTATTATATTCAGTGCATAACAATAACAGTACAGAACAACTGATAAATCCAAACAGTGAACACAACACCTGCAAGTCGTTTCTGTAAAATGAGAAATTTGATTTTTGTTTTTTACTTTTACTCTTTATACGATTCTATGTGTGTATTATGTTTAATTATAATATAATGATGAGCTTAATTTGTATAGCACTTTACAAAACACAGTTACAAAGTGCTCTATGAGACAAATAAGATAGTATACACTATCAAGATAAAAAAGTTGAACAAAACCTCAGACCAGATACATCAGAGTGTGTATGAATAAATAAATAATGAAATAGATAAAGAAGGATAGAAACTAGACAAACAACAGATTTACTGTAAAAAGCCTTCTTGTAAAGTGTGTTTTGAGGAGTGTTTTTAACGAAGACACTGAGTTTGCTAACCTAAGTTCCTCAGGTTAGGAGATCCCCAGCTGTGGGGCTTTAACAGAAAATGCCCCGTTTCCTTTTGGAACAACACGAGCTGTGGGAACAGTTAGGAAGGTCCTACCTGAGGAGCGCAGGCAGCGCCTAGGCTCATAGGGCGTAAGTAAATCTATACTGTATGTTGGAGCGAGGCCATGTAGGGCTTTAAAAGGAATTAGTAAGAGTTCAAAATGATTCTGTACTTAACAGGTAGCCTGTGTAGCGTTGCAAGGAGGGGAGTTATGTAGAGTTTTGTCTCTTTGAATCAGTCAAAAGTCTGGCAGCTGAGTTTTGAACAAGTGAGTTGGAGACAGGAAATGGCCTTTTGGCTGAGCCCTGAGCACAGGGAATTACAGTGGTCCAGAAGTGATGAGATAAAAGCATGAATGACTTTTTCAAGGTCTGTAAATAAAACTCTTTAAAACTCTCTTTAAAAATAACAATTTAATTTTCACAGAAATGACTGAAATGCTGAGATACAGGCCTGCTGTGAATTTAAAAAAAAAAAAAAAGGTTTCTTACACCTGTTGAAATCAAGAAGGCCTCTTAACCCCAAGGCCATAATTCTATCTTATTGCTATGGGCTACTTCATTTGCACTTTTCTAAGTTTTAAGGTTTGTCTCAGTATTATATTAGTATTAAACAATGTTTTTGTGTTTAAAGAAAAGCTTTAAGATTCAAGTATTGAGTGGTGTTTTAACACAAGTATGAGACTGAAGTGGCAGATATGTTTTAGGCCTTCACTGTGCTGTGTATCAGACTGTTACATTCAACCCTTTGATAATGACTGAGATGCCAAAACATACATCTTGTGTTTAGTTCATTCATGTTTGTGTCATTATCACAATTAAAAGTGTCATTGAGATTTGGTTGCAAGACTTCTGCAGGAGGCAAAATGATGTTGTATGATATTTTTATATTCAGACCAAAATACAAGATTTGAACTATGAACAAAATTTGCAACAATGCTGTAAAAGTGTCAAATATAGTGTAAAACATTTGTCACTTTATTCATATATTGTATGTATTTTTGTATTTTGTGCCTTTACAAATGTTTGCTCATGAGAGATACATTTGTTGTGTTCATGTCTCAGGTATCAATGTTCTCTCAGCAAGAATGTGAATGTGTACTTGAGAGAATGTTGACATTTTCTTTAATTCAATTGCAATCAGTGTTTAAATGTTACTATACTGTTGAATAAAACATGCTGACATTATGATTTGTGGTGTGACTGTTTGTTCAGCTTGTGGTCAGTTTCTCAGACAGACGCCACCTGCAACACCTGTTTCTGTAGATGACACAATGAACACACAACACTGTTTAACTGTTAAATGTTTTCCTCCATTTAAATAAAGTAAATCATTTCAGAGGCAAGTCACACATCAGTGATTTATGTATCCAGTTTGCATCACACTGATCATACAGATGAACAGTGGAGACATGAAATATGTTGCATGAAGGGTTAAAAACATCTCTGTAGATGTGATTGATTTTTTACAACATTAAAGTGAGTCAGTAGGAGTCCATCTATCTTCATTGTATTAAACACACACACACACACGTACTCATAAATGTTTATGACTGCTGTCATTAAGTGTCATTGGGTTTTTGTAATGACAAGTTGACATTGTTTGGGCTGTCTTGATGATGACAATTAAAGTGACATCACCAGAAGTTGTCTTTGTGAAGAAATCACAAGTTGTCATGCTGGAGTATTTTCCCAGTGTGGTATAAGTACTTTTCCTTCAGGTTTTGAACTGAACATTATCTCTAATAGCTGCCACAAACCTCATGTTCTGTTTGACACCATTAATAATATTCTCAACACCCCTCCTTCTGCTTGCCTTGATGTGTCCCCAGAAATCTGAGAAAACTTTCTTCACTTTTTTTATTGACAAGATCATGACCATTAGATCACACATTTCACCGCCTTCTTATGACCCCTCCACTGCTGTCACTTGCTCTGCTGTTTTTAAGGAATTTGAGCCTGTGTCTCTTTCACAGTTAAATGATATAATTGGTCATTTGAAACCTTCTACTTGTCCCACAGATGTTGTTCCCTCTCGCTTTTTTAAAGATATCTGTGAGACTATTGGACCTTACATCCAAACAATTTTAAATAGCAGTTTGGCTTCAGGGGCTCCACATATATACTACTTACATTTATACTAACCTGCAATGCTTCAATAAAAAAAAGATATGTATAAAAATCTGTTTTAAATTTGGTTAACCCTTTAGCATTCTCAACCGTTTGGTTTAGCACATTTTGAGTCACTGTATCTCAGTGAACAATGTGTTGAAGCTAACCTGATGGAGCTATCTGCACCACTCTGATTAGCTGTGTCATGCTAAAGAAATCCACTGGATGTCGCTGTGTCTTTAAATAGTGTGCCTTTACAGTTTGCGTCAC